CATAATTTATTAGCATATTATTTTATTTTATTTATTATTATTATTTTTTGATGTAGAGTTGGTTGACCGTTGATATGATATGAGAAGGAATTAGTCGAGGGTGCGGTCAAAATTTTGACCGCACCCTCGACTAATTCCTTCTCTTATTATTTTTTATTTAACATTTGTGAATGTGTATATATGTAATAATCTTAATCTATTCAAAAATATAATTTTAATAAAATTAAACATTTATGTATACGTCATTTCCAGCTATCAAATACCAACTTTTTAACATTATTCTAACATTTTTTCAGAGATTTATTTAATAAACCCCTTACTGTCCAGAACTGTATTTTAATTTTAGCATACTTTATTTTTGTTTTATTTTGGAAAATAGCTAAAGTAACAAATAAATTAATATTTACTTGATAAATAAGAGTATTTAATCATAAGGTTGTGTGAAAATATTTCCATTCAATTCTGTAAATTTAAGAGTATTCATTTTAATAAACATGAATATATTTACAGCTGCGAATACGTATCATCTGTAGTCAAATTTCTTTTTATAAATACCAGTATTCATTACCATAGCCATTAACAATTTCAGGAAAACATCTAATTAAATAAAAAATAAATGAAGAGTAAATCACGATTCTGAAATCCTCATTTATTAATATAAACAAAATTTCAATTTCATTTAAAAATCGAGCTTAAACTACATAAAATTATTTATAAGTAATACAAAATAGACTCATTCAAAAATATTTAATTTACATTTTAATTAATGCATGTTATTATCACAATAAATTAATGTTATGATTAAGCATGTAAAAAATATTTTTTTTTTTTGTCTTTAATTCTTCATCCGCATCTGTCATGGTAGTGACAATTAGCAGATTTGTTGTTTAGTAGAAAATGACAAGATAGGCATGACGAAGAATGGAGCCCAGCAGCACCTCTTCCCTGGCCTGTTTACATCCTAAAATCAGGAAAGGAGATCTCTCATCCAGCTCCTTTTCAGTCGCCTCCTGATGAGCATTTCAGCCCTGGCCATGTTGTTGATAAGTTCACTTTGATGGTTGGTATGACAATGGTTGGTTGTCTTAGGTCAGTATGTAAAGTCTTCTTGTTGACGTACCAGGGAGCTGCAGTTATTAGTCTTAAAATTTTAGATTGAAAGGATTGTAGTTTATTAAGTGAGTCTTTTTTGCTGAACCGTAAATCTGTGAGGCGTATGTCCAAATGGGTTTGAGCAGGTAAATGTATGTATTTAGTTTTTGTCTAATTTTCAATTTTTTTTATTTTATTATTTTAATGGAATTTACAACTGTATTACATAGAAAATACAATAAGTAAATATGAAATTGGTAAGATGACATGTACAACATGAAGAGAAACTACGCATTGGTAGAACTCAAATTAAAGTTCTATATTAGAAGATCCCGAGGCCATCTTCTTTTCAGACGCCTCAGAGGGTTATCAGGGATCGAGGAGGAAGCAAGATTTGAAACGAGAGGATTCGGGTGGTTCTGCAGTTTGTAATGGAAGGACAGGTACCTGGATTGGGCCGAATCGGAAACATACAGAACATTAAGGTCTTTATGGATGATTTTATTTGTGACAAAGTAAGGAGCATTGAGGATTTTACGAAGGATTTTGGATTGTAAGGATTGGATACGAGAGGAATTTGATGGTTTAGTGGAACCCCAAAGCTCAATTCCGTAAGTCCAAATAGGTCTTATTATTGTCATATATACGAGTCGTTTATAATTGATTGAAAACTTAGATCGTTTGTCTAGTAAGTGCTGCAGTAGTCGAAAACGTCGGGCGGTTTCTAGTAGTTTCAGTCTGGTATGGGGGTTCCAATTTTCAATTTTGATTTAGAAAACAGTGAGTATAGTATTTTCAGTCCCTTATTTAAAGTCTTTCTTTTCATTTTGATGTGTGGGCCACAGGTCATCCTTCTGTCAAATATTAGTCCGAGATAGCGTATACTGTCCGTCTGAGGAATTGGATTGTTGCTGATATAAACTGGTGGGCATGTTTCTCGTCAAAGCGTAAATGTTATGTGTTGTGATTTGTTATGATTTAATCTAATTTTCCAGCAACACTGACGGCCGCTATGGAGGTTGGACATGGCACCGCTGCAGCTGGAGGTGGAGGCTTGAGCTACAAACACATTATACATGCTAAGCAAGTCGACAAGCTGCTCATTAATCCCCTTTCAAGGAGGACACACAGTACTGCTGAACAGGATTAAACGTGACGAAGTGCTAGCTATGCACTCTGACACTCTACTCTGGGAATATCAAGACCATAAATATGAGGTTGGGATAGACAGCAGCAGACAACACAAACCAGATAATCGTATTAATTGTTATACAGATGGCTCTCTAACAGCCTTCGGCTCTGGAGCAGGCATCTATTGCAAAGACAATAAAGAAAAAATTTCTATACCACTTGGCAAATATGCCTCAGTATTTCAATCTGAGATACTGGCAATCTGCCATTGTGCATAAAACCTACTTTGAAGCAATGTGACTGGGAAAAAGATTACCATCTATACCGACAGTCAGGCAGCAATAGGTGCTATTAACAATTATTATGTTATTAACAATTATTATGTGTATTCAAAGGTTGTTAAGGAATGCAACACAGCACTGAACAAACTAACTGGGTGCCCGGTCACTCGGGCATACTAGGCAACGAAGAGGCTGATGAACTAGCCAGATTGGGCTCAGATACCATTCCTGTAACTCCCGAGCCTGTTTGTGGAATCAACCTTAGCACTGCCAAAAGTAGGATCAGGGAGATCTATGGGAACATATTTAATAATTACCCGACTGAGAAGAAACAGCAACATTCGAAGCTGTTCCTTAAAGGTCCATGTGAAAAAAGAAGCAAACTGCTACTGAGTATGGACAGAGCAGCCCTTAAAAAGCTTACAGCAATCTATACAGGTCACTGTAAGCTAAACTATCATATGTTCAATCTCCGAGTAACGACGAATCCGCTATGCAGATTCTGTCAAGAGGAGAATGAAACAGCCTTTCACATTGTTTGTCGATGCAATAGATTCGCAAGGATTAGACTGGAACTATTTGGGGAGGAACGAATGGATCTCTCTAGTAGATATGAGACGGTCAATCCAACTAGCCTACTAAGATACGCGGAAGTGGCAAAAATAACGTTTATCAATTTTAATAACGGCGATCAATGGACCCTACAGGGGTCGACATGCCTTGAGCCAACACTATAAACAAAAACAAAAATCAGTCTTCGTTGGGTTAACTTTCATACTGATTGCCCGATGTTTTTCTACGACGGTGACTGAGGCGTTCTGTGCCAGAGTTAAGGCCCTCTTAGCATTGGCATTGGAAGAATAGAGCCCGATATCATACACGTAGGCTGCTACCACCGCATATGGATGCATGAGTGCCATTATTGGTGCAGTGTAAACGATAAAAAGTATTAGCCCCAGTACAGACCTTTGAGATACTCTGCTGGTAGTGAGAGATGGATATGAAAAGTCCCCACAGACTCTTACGATGAAAGATCTTCCACTAAGATAGTTTTGCATCAGTCAGCATAGGGTGGCGGGAAACATGAACTCCAAACGGCAAAGTAGAGTAGGATGTGAGACATGCAGTCAAAAATCAAAGGCATGACTGCAACCTAGAGATATGAGAGGGCTCTGTTGCGATTCATCAGTTCTATCGTGTGGGCAGGAGTTTAGCGAGACATCAGTAAAGTTTTAACATCTATAAATAAGAACATAAAAGCCACCGCATTGTCGAGAATCAATGAAACAATGCAGTGTGATATAAACTTAAAACTTGTAATATTATTTTTGGACTATTCAACTGTAAATAACCTGCTAAAAGTTAATTGTTAAATGATTTGTTTTGATGGGAATAGCGAATAGCCTTCTGCTTTTATATATCGGGGAACTAGGTTATTTACACTCATGATTATTAAAATAAAACCCTGACACTGGATATAGACTTTTTGAGGGTGTTTAACTGTTTTGGGGAATTCGGGAATCTAATACCTTTTGTGACATTGAGTGAGAAGAAACAATAAGAATATATATTTGAAATGTGGGACTTAATAAATACACTTTGAATGAATTGACTCACCTGGTTTGTTATTCTTCAATCGTGAGGCATATAGTTCAACTAAATAAATAAATGACTTTTCACTCCTGTATAACAAAATACTTTATTTTTACAACTGTAATAAATTGACTCTATTAAAGTGTTATAACTATAGACTTGATCTTCTAAATCTTGTTAGACTCCCTTCCCAGGTATGTCGTTCCGCCTCAATGTCTCAGCCTCTAGTCCGTCTTCCTCTGTTTTGTCAACCTCCTTTCTACCTGTCCCGGCCTAAAATGCCTTCTCCAGCTTTTACCACCTGCTGGGTTTTTTCGGTACCTCCAACCTTCTTCCTTCTTCATCGATTATTTATCGATATGAGACTTTTCAATGAATAATTTGTCCACTGCACAATTGAGTACAATTCACAGTGCAACCTCACCTTGCTATATATTCCTACTCATTCCCTCACACCATGTCACATAAAGGAGTAAATACAGGGGGGCTGTCTACTACACAACTATCATAGTAAACAAGGAGCATTGAATGGATAACAATTGGGCGATTGACATTTGTCCGCCTAAATCAGTCATTTTGCCCACTGTGCGTGGATTAAAAACTAGCATTTCTTCATTCAACACATTATTTACTATGTTATGACCTGTTTAAAACTACATTAATCTTAAGGGACATTACGTCCCAAAATAAAAGCTGTTTTTGTTTTAAATCGTATTTATTTACATGCAGTTAATTTGTCTTCATGAGCAACATAAAGTTGTAGTTTGTTTTTTTCAAGTTTGTCGACAATGACATTGTATCAACAGATAAATAAAAATGTGAAACAATATCCATAAAGCATTCATAGCTTTAATATCACGACTTAATATTTAGGTAAAGATAAAAAAAAAAAAAAAAAACTTAAAAAGTTACTTAAAATGTACCTTGGCAGTGTGTATCAAGACACTACTCGTTTTCCGGGAATTATAAGCGCAGTACTTACACCTAAAAGTTCCCTGTTCGGCGTGATTGGTAACAACATGCGCTTCTAGCATAGTTTTCAAAATAGCCTTAAAATCACACTTACTACAATCGTATCGTCCATTCAGAATGTGATAATACTTGATGTGGGAGAAAATCCGTTTCAGGCGACAAGTCTTAAAAGCGCATCGGGGGTAGTGAAATAACTGCTGATAAATATTGATTTTATCCTTATCGGCCGAAAGAGCACAGCTATCTTTAAAAAGTATCTTGATTTCATCTGAAACAGGCCTGGAATAGTTTGTTGGATTGTTTTCAGTGGTATTATCCAGTTTTCTCATGGAGAAATCATCTTAAAAAAAAATATTGGCGACTATTATTTAATGTTATATTACTCAAGCATATCATCAGAAAGTTATACATAAGTAAAGTATAACACAGATCTACAAGAGAAAAAAAATTATTTTTATTAGCTAATATTAGGTGGATCCATAAGTTTGTTCGGTTTTCGTAAATAGTAGGAATTGTTTTCAAATATCTCCAGCTATCTTAGCCTTATCTGACAATAATGATATTTATCGGAAAGGTCTAAGTACGCTTAGTTTTGTTTGTGCTACAGCGTAATGAATATGTCAAATGATAAAGGACATTTTTGATATATTTTGCTTTTTTTATGGCAAAATAAGCAAGCGAACCTTGGTGGCTCACTCCAAGATATGTAAGCCATACATTGACGATGACTTAACATAACAGAACGTACTGTTCAAAAATATTTTGCCAAGTTTCGCTCTAGAGAAATGAATCTCGAAGACGCACCATGCTGCGGACGGCCTATCGAGGTGGTTTCAAGTGATATTAAGGTTCTAATCAAACAAGATAGGTCACTACAGGAACGAGAAATGGCGGAGACACTGAAAACAGGTTTTGGAACCGTTTAAAGGTATTTCAGTTTGGCCGAATACTAATCTGCAATTCTCTTCTGAACCTGCACGGAAGGGACCTATTTCTCAAACGAATTGAGACAGGTGACAAAAAGTGGATCATCTACGACAATGTAGGGAACAGGAGATCGTAGACTATTGCTAATGAGTCGTCTAATACCACCTCCGAAGGCCGGTCTACATCCGAAAAAGATTTCGTTCTCCATATGATGGGATCATCATGGCGTGCTGTTTCACGAGCTGCTTCCTCAAGGAAAACGATTGATTTGAAGATTTGATGCACCCAGCTAACGAAATTGGACAACCATTGCGATAGAAATGCACAGAGCTAGTCAAAGATTTTATACCTCACCATGACAACGCCAGACCATTCTCCGCAATAATCCCACAGCAAAGTTAGCACAACTTGGCTGGGATGTTTTATCACACCCACCGTATTCTCTGGACCTTGCACCATCTGACTAACACTTATTCCGGCCACTCCGAAACTCCCTCAACGGGAAATCATTGCTGATGAGATATGTGAAAACGTATCTCAATCAGTTTATGCTTCTAAGCCCCAGATGTTTTATGAGAGCGGGATAATGAAATTGTCAGAAAGATATCAAGAGATCATTAATAAAAACGGCAAATATATTATCAAATAAAATTTATTCTTTATATGAAAAGAACTTATTTGATTTCACCCTTCAAAAACCTAACAAACTTATGGATTCGCCCAATACATAGCTAAATATTTGGGGCGCTGAATCTGAGTATGAGTTTTTTTTCTATCAGCTCTACTTTTTGAGATAAGTGTGAAAACAGAAGTAAAATCATGTGCTTGTCACAAGCCGCTTCAGTGACAGGAAATGTCTGATTGTGAGGAAATGTCAACAATTGCTCAACTTTTCAACCAGACTAGGTCGGGGATGACTGGGCAAAGGAGATTGAGCAGGCCAAGGACCGCTACATGCGTCTGTTGTGCCAATAATGAATGAATTCTCACGTATAATTTTTAAGCATCTATTCAAAACTAAAAAAGAATTAAAAAGAAATTGTTATTAATACACATATTTATGGCCACCCATGTTTTTCCTTTCATACATTTGTTGTTTAAAACAAGACCTTAAATGGGGATTCGAAAACTATATATGTATCCATTACTATGTAAGGCTTATATTATGAGCTTCACAGACAGCTGTGAGAAGGAAGAAAATATTAAGAAAATTATACTTGTGAATAAATAGATACTTTTGAAAACTATTATCCTTTTGCTCTCTCTCTCATTACATATTATCTATTGGGACTGATTAGTATGTTGGGCCATTTAGCAACTCAACATGGTTGAGAAGCTGTACAGTTTTAATGTACTTCATTATCTTGCAATTGAACTAAAAAGCAATATGGGATAACACTTGATTGAACACATGATTAAAGGAACAATGTGAGAATAGAATGAATATATACATATTTATTTAAATAATAAAATTAGATTTTTATAAAAGTAAAATTTGATTCACGATAAGAAAAACAATGGTTTAAAATGTTAGAAGTGATAGATAATCATTCCTTAATTAAAATATTGACTAATGTATTACAAATAATAATAAATAAAAAAAAATACACTGACAGGCAAAAAATTCCACCCACTTGTTACCCATTAAGGAACTACGTAGGAAAGGTTGGCTCTGGGAAAAATTACAGGCTGCATATCTTTCGTTTCTTCTTCTCCACACCCTTTCACGCCCGTCTAGAGATCGAAGAACAAATCTTGACTCATCTAAAAAGTATCTCAAGTAAAAGGTACATACATCTAAGTAAGTAAAAAGTACAGCACTCCATTCGTCCATAGTCCAATGGCTGTGTTCTCCAGCAAAAGCCAGCCATGTTACTCTGTGAATTCTGGTCCTCTTACTGGACGAAAAGCCATTAATCCATACTCATTTAATCTTCTCCAAACGGTACAGAAATTTACCCACCTCGAACTTCTTCGAGCTGATGAATCGCTTGAACAACGGTAAGGCACCGGTTTCGTAAAATTCTGAAAGTCAAATACCGGTCATCCCGTGGTTCTGTTACCCTAGGCCGTCCAGAACTGGGCCTTCTATTGTAAGAACCAGTTTCCCGAAAATGCCTGACGGCATCTAGTAAAGTTTCATATGGAACTCCGATGGCATTAGCTCTATATCTAATGGAACGTCCATCATCAATAAGTGCCACACCACGCACAACATCCTCAGCACTAAGAGGCATTTTAAAACTTAATATTGAAAAAATTATAAGCCGGAGACTAAGAAATGTGCTGCAAGAAACGGCACTGAACTAATGATACTGAATTAACATTTTGATTCCATAGAAAGTAAATATCCTCTATATTAACATTCCTAATTGAAAACAAACAAAAAGATTACCTATTTATTCATTAAAAACAATAGACCAATCCAAAGCAGAAATATTTTTAGATGAAAACATGAAAAAATCAAATGGGTAGAATTTTTTGCCTGTCAGTGTATATACATATAAATTAAAATACACTAACAAGTAGGAATGTTTATATAAAAAAAAAAACTAACCAAAAACTATGGAATTATCTTCATCATTTGTAAGATCTATTACACATGATCCTGAAAAAAAAATTTATATATTAAAAATTTATTTCAGCATGTCTACAGTCAGTATTTCAATCAAATTTGTTTTGGTGATACTAAATCAAAAAATATTGATGCAATTCACTATTCGTTGCAATAGACCGTAGGATACTAGAAAAAAAATTATATAATTTTAAACAAAATTTATATTTGACACAGTTTATGGGTTATTAAAAGTCAGGACGCAGTCAGTTTTCAAGATTTTTATTGTTGCCAATGTTTCAACCCAAGCTTGTGGGTCATCATCAGGGCTGATCATGACATCACTGATGATGATGATGACCCACAAGCTTGTGTTGAAACACTTAAGTGTGTCTACTCTACATGTTACACGAAATGGTACCAACTTGATCTTCATAAACAAATTTGAACCAAAGATACTACCCAGTTGAGAAACTACCCATTGGTAGTACACTATTTTAAATTTTAAACATCCTTACATTATTCAATCCTGCTTGTTGCATGTAGTCTATTAATCAGATTAAAGTTAAGTATAAGTGTGGTTGGGAGGTTGCACTTTGCTATATTTTTGTTTAGATCTTTCTTTCATTAAGGGTTATTATTAAAACATTTGAATAATTAAAATTTCAATTTTGTAATTATAATGGCATATGCGCTGTTCAGTCCTTTTGTAACAGCCTGGAAATTTCATACTATATCTAGATTTTTGGAAATGTAGATTTATTCTACATTGATTCTAAGACTTTCCATTTAAAGCTATTTTTTCACTTATTAGTATTTTAGTGTTATCAAAATCTTTTTTTTTTTACTTTTTTTTTATTTCTTAATGACATTTACAACTGTATTACATAAATACATCAAGTAAATTTGGACATAATAGATATATAATGACATGAATACACTTGCTGAGTAACTATCCAATGGTAGCACTCTAATGATATGACTACATTAGGAGATCACGGGGCCATCTTCTTTTCAGACGCCTCGGAGGGTTATCAGGAATTGAAGAGGAAGCAAGGTTAGAAACGAGAGGATTGGGATGATTTTGAAGTTTATTATGGAAGGATAGGTATCTGGATTGGGCCAGATATGAAATATAAGGAACATTAAGATCTTTATGGATAATTTTATTAGTGACAAAGTAAGGAGCATTGAGGATTTTATGAAGGATTTTGGATTGTAAGGATTGGATGCAAGAGGAATTCGATGGTTTAGTGGAGCCCCATATCTCAACTCCGTAAGTCCAAATAGGTCTTATTATAGTCAAATATATGAGTCTTTTGTAATTAATGGGAAGTTTAGAGCATTTGTCTAGTAAGTACTAAAGTAATCGGAAACGTCGAGCGGTTTCTTGTCGTTTCAGTCTAGTATGAGGATTCCAAGTTAGTCGTTTGTCCAGGTGGAGTCCTAGGTATCGGATTTGCTCAACAGGGATAAGTGGAGTATTGTTAAAGGAAACTGTAGTACAGGAAGTCGTTGGTTTACGACGAAGGGTAAAGGTAATTTGGTGGGATTTATTGGAGTTTATTTTAATTCTCCAGTTTTGACACCATTCTTCTAGATTTATGATGTGTGATTGAAGCATTGGGGATGCAATTGCTGGGTCATTGTTTACTGATAGGATACATGTGTCATCGGCATATGTGGTGATGACAGTGTTGGGATGTCAGCTGTATAAACAGTATAGAGGATAGGACCTAGGATACTACCTTGAGGAATACCAGCGGACTGGGAGTTATCAAAATCAAAGTTGTGTTTCCGTTGGGTGCTGTGTGTTGATATTCTAGTGCAGGTGTTATATTTTTTTTATTTTAGAATTACAATTGCTTTTACGTTGGTTGATTCTATTTTGTTTAGAAATAACAAAACACAGCCTTATTTTTTATTATTACAACTACTTCACCTAAAACAAATAAGCACATATGTTTTTAAATTATCTTAATACTCAATGAGAAATATCATTTCATCTTTATCTTAAACTAAATATAATCTATCGCCTACCTTCTGTGCAAGATGGAGTGACTAGAGGTAAAGAGGTTGTCGTAACAGTTTTGTTCTCTTCACAATCTATGGATAAAATATCAAAATTTATTAAAATAAATATTATTTACTTATATAATATCAATAGGAGAATTGATGGTAATATGGAACCCTGCATACATTATGGAACTATTTATATTTTTATTATTATTTTAAAATGATAGGATTTTATTTTTTTCATCTGTCACTTAAAATACCATCAAGATATGTCTGGATAGAATACTGTGACTTAAAACGCTAAGAGATTCTTCCATATTTTATTCACACCTAACATAATGGAAATGACAACCATTGAATGAGATGATAGTTGCAAAACATAATGGCATGTAAGGCATGAGGGGGAGCAGTACCCAGCGGCACCTCCTCCTGGCATGATATCTACATTAGGCGAGGAGGTCCCTCATCCAGCGCTTTTTCAGTCTCCTACAGACATTACCTGGCATTTGTGTAGTGGTCATGTCATTTATGAGTGTGTTAACAGTCGACATTTGGAGGTCAGTATGTAAGGTTATGTTGCTAACATACCAAGGTGCTTTTGTCCTGAATGTTTTTGCTTGAAAGATTTGAAGTTTGTTTATGTTTTTTTAGCTGTACCAAATATCTGTTATGCGTAAGTCCAAATAGGTTTTATTAAGTAATTGTATGTGTTCAATTTCTGTCTAAATTTTAGGTTTGAATGTTTCGAAAGAAGTGAATTTAGAATTTGTAGTCGTTGATTTAATGTTTTTCTCTCTTTTATTATATGTGGGCCCCATGTCATTTTTCGGTCAAATGTCAGACCAAGGTAATGAACGGTGTCTGTCTGTGGAATCTGTATATTGTCAAGAAAACTGGAGGGCATGTTTCATGTCAAAGGGTAAATGTGATGTGCTGTGATTTGTCTTGATTTAAATATTGTTTATTAATTCTGTGAAGGATAATAAAATAAATAATAAAACGCTTAGCGAACCCAAAGGTTCGATGCCGACACCACCAACCGCTCATTACACATCTCTTTCCACCGTTCGCCGTCCAAACCCAGTCACTTCAGATCGGCTTTAACGCAATCTTCCCACCTTCACCTTCGTCTATCTCTTGGACGTTTACCATTCCGTACAGCAAATATCAACCTTTTAGGAATTCTTTCGTTTCTAATCCCAATAATTCACAAGCCCATTTGATTTGCTGTTTGCGAAGGATATGGCAAAATAAATTAAAAAGTTAATCAAATTCACCTTTCCAAATACAGAAGATGTCTGTTTTTAATACAAAGATTATTTTTTTTTAATGTTGTCTTTAAGCACGTCGACCCCTTTGGGTCCATTGTGCGCCAATATTCACTAAGTCGTTTTGTTTAAAACGTTAGTCCTGTCGCTTCCGCGTATCTAAGTAGGCTGGTTGGGTTGACCGACTCAAATCTTCTGGGGAGATCCATCTGTTCCTCCCCAAATACCACCAGTCTGAGCCTTATAAACCTGTCACATCTGCATATGATGTGAAAAGCTGTTTCATTCTCCTCCTGAGAGAATCTGCATAGCGGATTCGTCATTACTCGGAGATTGAACATATGATTATTTAACTTACAGTGACCTGTGTAGATCGCTGTAAGTTTTTTAAGAGTTGCTCTGTCCATGTTCAGTAGCTGTTTACTTCTTTTTTTACATGGGCCTTCAAGGAACAGCTTCGAATGTCTCTGTTTCTTGTCGGTCCAGTAATTCCTAAATTTGTTCCCATAGATCTCCCTGATCCTGCCCTTGGCAGTACTAAGGCTGATTCCACAGACGGGCTCGGGAGTTATAGGAATAGTATCTGAGCCCAACCTGGCTTGCTCATCAGCCATCTCGTTGCCTGATACGCCAGAGTGGCCTGGCACCCACTCCACTGGAACTCTGTTGTGCTCAGTTAGCTCGTTAAGTGCTCTATTGCATTCCTTAACGACCTTTGAATAAACATAATAATTGTCGAGAGCACCTATTGCTGCCTGACTGTCAGTAAAGATGGTGATCTTTTTCTCAGTCACATTGGTTTGCAGTAGGTTTTGTACACAGTGGCAGATTGCCAGTATCTCGGATTGAAACACTGAAGCATACCTGCCAAGTGGTATACAAAGATTATAGTAAAAGCCATTTTTGGATGAGGATGAGTTCTAATCTTTCGATTTATAAACTAGGAATCTCCTCTATGAACCGAGGGATTAAAACAAATAGGGGCAGAAAAAAAATTTGGAACTTCTCCTAAAATAAGTTTCCGGGTAAGGCTTGTTGAACACAGTAAGATCATCAATTGCTAATTTTTAAGAGGATAATGAACTATAATTTTAAATGTGTCAAAACACCATAACAATGGCGCCATTTATTGGCCAACATAGCAACGCCATCTATCAGCGGGTAGAAGAAGAGATCTCTATCTGAGTCCAACCTGAGAGACCTAGACCAGGATGGTAAAAAGTCAGCCAGAACATGAAAAATGGTATCCATGACTCAAAACAAAAAAAAGATGTCTAGCTATACTCTAAGTTCAAAAAAAGGCCCAGGAAGATGCAGCAAGCACCCCATCACCACTCTACCCAGATGTATAAGCAGAATAAGCCAATCCTTCAATGGGAAACTTAAGATTCCAACAGCTTTACCTACATCGTAACTCCAACCTCTTCGTCATCAGTACATAAAGTACAATTAAATTCCAACTAACGCATTAATCTCAATGTAAATAATCTGGTAATACCCCCCACTTATCTTCAATAATGTTTTTTTTTCTCTCATATTTGTACAAATATTGTAATAATGTTCATCTCCTTACAGCCTTCAACACAAAGTGGATCCTTAAGATTTTCTTCTGTAACTGCATGATTTTCCATCCAGCCATTGTTACCTATAATAACATATTTACAATTAAAAGTCAATTAGAAATTCATAGAATTTTACTAAATATTCCTGATAATATAGAATAAATAAACTATTAACTTCATAATGATATAAACCAATGTAGCCGCTCACAGTGGACATTGGAGAGTTTAATTAAGACAATGTTTTCTTAACATTTGAATGAATTTATAAATTATTTTTTAGACGATCCTCATATATCTCATATATCCTCATATATCATATATCCTTTACCTCTCCTTCGCTCCCTCTGAATGGCATGATGCATTTGCCAAAATACAAGAAGACCTAAATCGGATTTGTGCCTGGGCAAGTGAAAATGGATTAAGATTAAATGCTGCTAAAACCCAAGCCATTGTCATCGATTCCAAACCCCTTCTCAGATCAAATACCAACATTCCTCTCCTGTACCTGAATGACCAACCCATCACCTTCAACACTTCAGTTAAAAACTTAGGTGTTATCATAGATCAAACCCTCTCCTGGAATCACCATATTTCCCTCATATCCCGACGTTCAATTTCCATCCTGAAACTCTTCCATCGCTTCCGCCATCTCCTACCCATATCCACACGTAGACTCCTAGTATCCGCCCTCATCTTCCCCCACATTGACTACGGCTGCATAGTGTACGGTGGCCTCTCATCGGAACTTGGAGTCAGACTGAAAAGAATAATGAATGGCTTAGTACGATTTGTCAATGGGACCCCGAGACGTTCTCATGTTTCCCACTACTATGCCGAGTCAGGGTGGCTCTTTCCCTCCTTCAGAAGACAGTACTTCCTAGGTACATTCCTTTACCAAATAATCTATAATCATCGTCCGTCCTACGCATTCAATCTCCTTCAATTCAAGTCATCTATCCACACCCTCTCCACAAGATCTCGTCCTTCCGACCTTTATACCCCTTTCCACAAATCGGCCTCATTTCAACACTCCTTTATTGTCCGATCCACAACATTTTGGAATTCCATCCCACTTAAAATCTGCCATGCACCATCCTTATCCACATTTAAAACCCTCCTTTTCCAATTCCTCCTTACAATTCAATCAGACGATGGGTAGCCTATTATATGTATATATATATATATATATATATATATATATATATATATATATATATATATATATATATATATATATATATATATATAAAGTTGCCCTGTAAGAAATAAAGTAAAGTTTTTTTTTGTTAAAGGTGTTCCTCGGAATAATAAAATTATATTGAGCAGTATTTTAATTTTCTAAACATAAACGCATGTAAGTATCCCATTACAACCATGGCACGTAGGTAGCATTCGGCAAGAATTAAGATTTATCTCGAAAGTGGTATATTTTTGAGCTTTAAAACATAAGATCCAGTAGTTCCATTAGAATTATACCAGGTCTTGATGACCATATCAAAATCTTTAAAACATGATTTATTCTGAATTGATTTATTGACGTTGAAATCATCCAAGATTTGAAACCTTTCAATTTTTGCATTGATTTTTATTAAAGTCATTGAAGGAAGTTGTCATGTTGACTTTTATTAAAGTTGTTGAAGGAATATAAGGATAAAAATTAGGATTTGTCATTTCTCCATCAAATTCCATTTTGTTTGATACCTCCTTCAACAAAATCGGTTGCACATGAGAGACAGAAAAGTCGTTTATATAACCATATTATATATAGTGTAGAATGATTGTCTTTTATATTAAATAAATGGTCAAATATATTAATAGTAAATTGTATTAATGATTAATTTACCTTCCAAACTTGATGAGCTGAAATTAAAAGAAGCCTTCTCATCTATCCAAATATTATAGCTGGTGACAGCTGTAAAAAACAAAATAAATATAAAAATAATTATGAAAGTAAACTAACAGAGGGTAGGGATGGTCATTGATATTATCTACTTCGATATTATTGACAATCGGTATTTTAATATTTTAAAATTAAAATTAAAACTATCATTTTCGGAAAGCGCTAGGAATTGTAATATATAATTTTCAGTACATAATTGTATCCCTTCTAGAAATAGACATTTACTTGTTATAGGTGTATGGGCTCAATTTTTCCCAAGTTTTAAACCAATTTTAGGAGCTTATATAAATCCTAGGGTAGTAATTGTTAAGGAGCTAATTTTTAGTCCGTCTGTTTATATAATTAAATTTTTCTAATTTGTTTGAATAGTCAGTGATCTGAGTACATCAACAAATTTAATGCATACATGTATATTCCTTTTTGAATTTTTTTTTTTTAGAGGAATAAGGTGCAGAGCATCAAAAGCTCCATAACATAAATATATGAGACTGTAAAAAGAATGGTGTCTTTTCTTACTAAACATGTATTTTCTATACAAAAAATCCAGTTTCATACTTAAACACCTGATAAAACCTGTTAGTATATACAGTAATACCAAGACAGTCAATTTGATACTTTAGTTTATAAGTTGGAAGTGGCTGCGACAGTTAATGCCATGACTGAAGAATCACTGGTAACTGCCTCGATGGAAAAGGGCCTTATTGGCGGAATTTTGTTTAATTCTTGTATATTTCAATTTACATTGGAATTTCTATATTTAATTGTTTACAAATTACTCTAACAATAACATATCATCATTATCTGATCATTCCAAGAAAAAAAAAAAACAATAATTAGTTTTTAAAGTACTTACAAAGTGACATATCCTGAACTTCTTCAGAAAAAGGAGTACGACCATCACTTATGCAGATGACATCGTCTAAGAATAAAAACAATGATAGATTAATTGTATTTTATTACCAATTTAAGATTATAATAATTTAATTGACTAATGAGAGAATTAATTAAAATTTGATGAGAAACATTTACTAAAAAGATAGATTTGAAAGAATAATTTTTAAAGAAATTCTAATACTCTTATATGAGAATGGTCAGCAGTGGAGAAGATAAAATAGCTGAATAATAAGCAATGAAAAGATTTGACTGAAATGATACTAAAAAAAAACAGATTTTTCTCTTATTTAATAATTACATAAATAATACCCACTTAATAGAGTCTGGATAAGTCCCAAGAATATCTCTTTACTTCTAGGTAGATCTGCTGATAACAAATTAAATAATTACCTGCGACAGCCGGAATGAAATCTGAGACTTTGAGTGTAGTAGAACAGTGCCTTACTGAATAAGCTATCCTGCTTCTCCATAAAGCAATATATGTTATAAATATAAATAAATTAAACGAACCATCATCTGGCAGCGATTCTTTGCTAGGTTCAGCTAAATGTTTTGAATCTTCCATCAAGTCTTCTTATCTGAAAACAATTAATACGTGAGAAAAAAATAAAAATCACTATAAAGATAAATGTACCAATAAAAGACACTTTAACAGAAATTGTCAACATTAATATGAAACAGTTTTTAACAATTTTACTCTTTAATCGCGTTGTTTCTTAATATAAAGTCAATACGTCAAGTATTCATGAAAAACTTGAAGAATTCTGACAGCGTATTTGCCTCAGTAGCACAAGTTTTGGAGGTAAATAGGTTTTTTAAATAGAATTCACCGTTGTTTTTAACTAAGAAATAAGTAAACTAAAGATGAATAAAATTCCAATCCTGTCGTCTAAAGAAAAGTAATAGTAATAATAAAACACTCATATTTATCACAACAGTCCCACTTTATTTTATTTTTTACACTGACATTTTAGCGCTTAGGCCATTTTCAAGGGATGAAACCTTTAACAAATAGAAAAAAAATTTAATTTGTATTTGTTAAAGATTTCATCCCTTGAAAATGGCCTAAGGGTTGAAATGTTGATGTAAAAACAAAAAAAAAAAAAAAATAAAGTAGGACTTTTGTGATCAATATGAATGTATTATTATTATAATAATGTGAAGTCCTAACCTACAAGTATAAATATATACTATAAGTATATATATATATATACATTTAAGAAAAGAATTTTAAAAAATCTCTCTGAAACAAGCCTTGTTTCATTGAAAAATCAACTACCAATCAGCTACAGTGGTACATCCAATTGAATGCTTGAGGTTCAGGCATCACCCACCAGTGTTTCAAGGGCAAATCTACTCTCTTTTTGGTCTTTAAAGCTTACTAGAAAGAATAGAAAACAAACTTTATTCTGGGACGAGATCGCTTAAGAATAGCATTCAAGAATTTTTATTTATTTTATTAGTTGTACATATTTGTGGCTCACAATAAATTTGCCATCTACCTCGGTATTCAGCAAATATGATATCAAGGAGAAGAATAACAAAACAAAAAGAAAAAAAAAACATAGTAAAATAACACATACATTATAACATAATAACAAATACACACACAAAAAAGATAATGAAGCAAGCAGCTCAATGCAATAAGTCTCTTGGCCAGCGCCTCAGCAGTCTTCTGGGCGGATTATATGGATTTGTGGCAGTAGATAGAGCTGTCAAGAATAAAAAATAAAAACATCTGGCCAAAAATGACATTAATCAAAATTAAAGGATATATAAAATATCTCCACATAAAATATATTAAAAAAAATAAAAAAAGTAACACCATTTGAAAAAAAAAAAACATTATTTAAATGAAAATAAAAACAGAAATCAAGTACAATAAAAAACAATTTCAACAACCATTCACCTCAGTCAAAATTTGATTCATAATATTTATCAATATTATGTATATGGATACTTATTAATAGTATGTATCAATGAGTAGAAAACTGTCTACTACTGTTTCATTTAACTTATACTTAATATGATAATTTTTTAGGGAATTTCTTTATTCAGATATATTACAATCTGTCACATTCAAGGACAATAGTAATAGTGATAAAGGGTAGCTCATTCATACCGTACAATAAATAAAAAGCAATATAAAAATACTAAAAGTAAATGTATATAAACTGAAAGATACTAAACTAAATAAAAATAAACTAATCTAACAAAATGACTACTTAAATACACACATGCTTTTATACAATATTCATTCACTCAAGATCTTGGAGCCAAGCCTTTCCTCTCACCCGTTGAGGGAAAGGCAGGACTCTAGGAGATCCCAGCATCTTTCACTCAGCCAATATGATAATTAAAAACAAATTTTCAAAATAGGATTTTGATTAAAATCTTTAAGCAAAAAAAAAAAAAAGTTTTGCTAATTAGTTGCTCCAAGTTAATAATTCACATAGTATATTGGTAAATAAACAAATGGCAAAATAAACCGAAAATATGTAAATGCAATATATTATGAGAGAAATAAAATGAATTTGGATGATTTATTTTTAATTTTTAGAGAAGTTAGAAACCTTTCAAATCATCATAGCTATAAGCAACCACAAATTGTCTATGTTTTTATTTATGTGCAAATAAAGTTATCTTTTCTTTGTAACTGTCTTTTTCTGACTTTTTTGGAGATTGTTTATTTACTTACTTGAAGGAGATGATCTTTAAAATGATGGCTCAATCATTGGATTTGATGAAGAATCAACAAAGATAAGACAAAAAAAAAAAAAAACCATTGAGGAATAACACATAAAGATTAAGACAGGACTGGAGGAGAAACTGAAGAGAATCATGGACTGCTTCATAAGATTCATTTTTGGGATCCCCAGGCGTTCTCATGTTCTTGTACATCGAGTTAAAGTGGATCTATCCTACTTTCCGACGACAATTCCTTCTTGGCATTTTCCTTTTCAAAGCTCTCAGAACCAAAAATCCTTCCTACATCCTATAACTCCTTACTCTACATTCCTCTATATACTCTCTTAATACCAAATCTCAAGCTATAGATTTATATATTCCCTCACATAAAACCACTTTCTTCAGCAAATTCTTCGTCATTCGACAATTACATTCAAACATCCACAAGCTTGTAAGATTTTTTAGAATATGTAATTATAATTGCTTGTCAGCAGTTAATTGCCATTTCATTTTTTTTTCTTTTAGTATTTTTTGTATATTTATTTATTTTAATTTTAACATTTGATGAAATTTGCACCTGCGCTGCAGCTCATCTAGCAAATCTGATGTATTAGCCATTAGCTGCGAATTTGGTTGAGTATTATTTTTTTTTCCTTGTTCTTAATATAGGAATAGGTCCCGTGGCCATTTTCTTTTCAGTCTGTTTTGATCAGGTAACAGGGAGCAGGAAATAGAAAGGACTAATGGAATGATGTGATTTAGAGTTGAACAATGAAATGAATTGTATTTGTTGTAGATGTAGGATTTTACTGTTGGGATGTTTAAGTCGTTATGTATAGTGTTGTTCGAATGTACCAAGGTGCGTTGACAATTTTTTATAGAATTTTTTATTGTGTTGTTTGTATTTTATTTATGTGTTTGTTTTTCCGAACCTCAAAGTTCTGCTCCATATGCCCAAATTGGTCTCAGTATAGTGTTGTAAATCAGTAGCTTGTTTCATAAGTTAAGAGAGGATCAGTAGTCCAGAAGATATGAGAGTTGGTTATATCGTCTAGTCAGTTCTTGTCTTTTTAATTTAGTAAGTATGTTCCAGGTAAGTCTTTTTTCTAAGTAGAGTCCGAGGTACTGTACATATTTTTTTGAAGACACTGGGTTATTGTCAATGATTATGGATGGACATGAGGCTTTCCTAAGTGAGAAAGTCATGTGAGTGGATTTGCTACTGTTAATTTTAATTTTCCATGTTTCGAACCAGTTTTGAAGATCATAGAGGTGGGTTCGAAGGGCAATTGATGCGATAGTAGGATTTTTGTGGGAAGAAAGAATTGCAGTGTCCTCAATGAAACTACGAGAGATGTATAGCGAATAGAGAATTGGACTTAAGAAGCTGTTGAGGGAAGAAAGAAGAATCAAAAGAATCGATGGAAACACAGAAAAAACTGTTAAACTGTGGAAAATAAGTAGAAGGTAAGTGCGATTTTAATTTCCATAATAGGCTCTTGTGCCAGACACTACCAAATGCTTTTTCTATATCAAGGAAAACTGCAGAGCAGTATTCGTTTTTCTAAAAAACAAAAGAGATTGCGTTTTGTATTTAACTATATTTTTCTTAGGATTCTATGTATATATTTGTATTATAACAACATACCAGACTGATGTATATATTTTTTGAACTTCTGCTATTATTCTTGGGTACTTTAGTAAAAGAATAAAATTATTTATCATTTCATTTCAAATATTATTGTTCTATTTCATGTATTTCTATTATGGATTACGATGTTTTGTAATTAGTTCAGGATTTATCTTTGTATGATGATCATTTTATCAAAGAATTTTTAAATACAGTAATACTGCAGTTAACAAAAAAAAAAAATATATATATATATATATAATAGGATAGACATGTTACATGTCCAGAGGCATTGGAAACATGAGGGAAAGGGGATAAATTGCTCTTTGGTTCAAGGCTCAAGGAAATTTCTAGATTCAATTTATTTTATTTTTTCCTAGAAGGGAGAGAATCACTTTATTATCATAAAATAAAATGGTGCTGCCCAATTACATTGGGTTGCTAACAACACAGCATACTTATTAATCACTACAGAAAATATTTAAAATTAATACACAATTATATAGGATTAACAATATGTATGAGCATAGTATACAATATTTTTATATATATATATATATATATATATATATATATATATATATATATATATATATTATTAATTTTTTTTCCTTTTTCTTTTTACTATTTCTTTCATTCATTTATTATCATTCTGTACCCTTTCTCTTCCCTCTCCCCTTATACATCTTCCCACTCCTCATATTCTCTCCTCTCTCTTGCTAACCTAATTCATACAGAATACATAAAGAACAGTGGACGTGTTCAATTAATAATAATATAAAAATGCTCTAACACACGCATGCCTCCCCCCCATGAACATACTCTCTCCCTATCCCCTCCCATGCACATGGTGGTCGATGATTCCCAGGGAGTCGAGGATTATACTCACTGCCAATTTTGCTACATCCTTTATGTCGACACCAAGGCCCTCCATTAACTATAAGAACTGAATAAAAATGACTAGAAATAGTGATTTTTTAATTTTTCTGTTGGCTTTACAAACCTTGTATAATTTTTACCGCCTTAACTAGCATTCTCCACCTTTGCCAATCTTGGGTTATTACTTTTCAATTACCTAAATCCTTCTGTGTGATCATTAGAATACTATTGAGACATTTATTTTTGCGTAGAGGCTTCCAGATGGATTGCTCGGAGCTACATGCTCGAACTATCTTAACCTCCTCACCTTAATTTATTTTTTCTCCTCCATGTACTCTTATTCCAGATTGCTGTTGCTGTAGTTATCATGTGGAGAATTTTTCTTATATATTTTCTTTTTTTTCTTTGTAGTGTACCAGATCCAAGGGGTACGCACCTTTAATAATAGGAGGGAGAGAGGGAAGACGGAAAATAATCTCAGGTAGATAAATGATTTCAATACATTTAATACAGTAAATAATTTATTATTATTACAATTTATATATATTTTTATATATATATAATGCCTCACTTGGACTACTTGGCTGCCAGGGTCAACCTCTCACTAAATGGGCTGAGTTGAATTGGGAGCGCTCTCTGTGGCATTAGGTACCCAGTGACAATGACAATATATAAAGGAGTTGTGCAGGGTACTATGAGGTATGCGTCCCCCACCTGGTATCATAACTCCTCAAGAAAACAGAACAGATTGGCGACGATACAGAGAACAGCTCTTCTATGGGTAACTAAGGCCTACAGGACTGTTTCACACGACGCAGTGCAGGTCCTGGCAGGATTCCTCTCGATTTTATCCTGCTCGAAGATGCTACAGTATTCGGCTATAAAAGAAAAGGCACGGCTGTGGTTCCGGAGATCCTGTGAGTGAGGATAGCAGGTGAGCCCAATAGATGGAAACAAATAATCCCCGAGCACACCATCAAAGAATGGAATTGACAACCCTGAAAGGAGCGAAGCTAAGGAAGTTCTTTCCGACAGTGCACTTAAGATTAACTGCAAAATGGGTGCTCCCGGACTACTGGGTTTTGCAATTCCTCACGGGACATGAAGACTTTCGGGCCAAACTTCACAGTTTTGGCAAGAACGTTGACCCTCTATGTCTCAGGTGTCGCGTTCCAGTAACTGCCGAACACGTAGTAACAACCTGTACTGTGTTCAAAGGACTTAGGGGCAATTTAGGAAGGAAAACAGGATTGTACATCATGACTGATGATTTCCGCTCCCTCATGAAAAAAGAAAAATGCCCGTATTTCAAAGAATTTGTATACGGATTGAATATGACTGTGGGACCATAACACTTAAACTTTTGTGCCCCTAGGCGAAGAGAGGAGACGGCAGAAGGCAGCCCAGAATGAAGATGTTGACTTCAGTTGAAGCACTATCGCCTAACTGGCTGAGGTAGCTTGATAAATTATTTATTACGCTACCCTCACCAAATCCGTAGGTAAGGTAGAGTGAAAATAAATAAATAACATATTTTTATATAAAGTAAAATATATAAATAGAATAACAATCTTTAAAAATTAATTTTATTTTTAAATTTTTAGCAAGCCTTTTGTATTATATTATGTTTTATTTTCTTTCAAATTATTTAGGGGGCAACAGTCCCCCTGCATACACCCATGTCCGCATTGCTGGCATCTTTATAAATATACATCAGAAAAGTTTAGGACATTAAGTATTTTTATTGTTATAATCTAATAATCAACGGCAAATAAGATTGAAAATTCAATAGAAATTAAAACACATTTAAATGTTAGCACTCAACTACTATTAATTACTTAGTAAAATTGAATTAATAAAAAAAAATGATGGAGTAGTTTTATTAGTTTAGTTTTTTTATGTTCTGAGATTGATGCAAGAAAATTTGATCATTATCATATTTGAATTACAGCCTTCTTTCATTATCACTCAACCTTTGGCCAAAAATTATATCAGGATCATGAAGATAACTCGAAAGGTTGATTTGATTTATATTTATACAAAGGAACAATAAATAATAGAAATGCAAGATTCTTTATTTTCATTTTGAACTTGGTTTAAACAAAATAGTAAGAAGAAAATGTTAAAATTAACTCAACATGTGATTTGATTAAACAATCTATTGGTAATCTGCAATTTATATCAACACAATCATTAAAATTAGAAAAAGTTAACAATGTTTCATTTATTAACATTATTAATAAAGAAAAATTCACATATAAAACATTGTTAACTTTTGTTGAGATTGCATTTATTCATACAAATTTGATGAGAAAAAACTTTTTTGATGTACTTGTAATAAAACTATGGAACCCTAGGCCAACCATCAAGTAACAATTGTGTGCAGTATTACAACTGATTAATTGATATAATAAAGATAATAATTTCATTTCGAGGATCCATTACAATTATCTATAAAAAAGTTTAAATTTCGAGGAGGTATATTTGGATATATTGTCATTAGTTTTATTCCAAATAGAACTCAATGATATAAATAATACAACTTAAAGGATATATCTGTTAGTTAACACAATCACAATGACTTACATTCAAAACATAGACATTTTCAATATAAACTGACTCTTATTTCAAACATTTTTTACATTGTATTAACATTCACATCGTTTTAATTTATTGGATCCAACAAAAGCCGAACCAATATTTACTTTAAACAATGCTTGGAAACAAAGAGGTAGGTAGTGATAAAAACATTAAAGTTTAGTTCGGAAAAAACGTTTGGTTTATTTTCTCCAAAACATTTTAAGGTGTCTTCCACATTTTTCCAGGAACAAAATCAGACCAGGAGTCAGTAGGGGATTTAAGATTAAAATCTGGGATGTTATTTATTCCATTATATTTTATTTAGTTATTATTCTAGTAGAAAAATAAAGAAAATATGTGAAATTATGTTAACTATATAACCTCGTTATTTTAACATGTTGAGGGTGGAGGTCTTTTCTAACGGCTCAACACGGGCGGATCTACGGGGAAGGGGGGCTTTCGGGCTGAAGCCCCCCCCCAAAATATAACCATGTTTTATGGGAAAATTTTTTTTTTTGAAATACCTCTTAAAGTATTATTGTTCGTGTAATTACATTTAAAATCACTTAAGGAATCACTTAAACACCATTTCATACAGGTAGTTAGTTTCTTTCTGTTTTTCTAAAGTAAATATCGTTATTTTTATGAAAAAAAAAAGGTTTCGGGCTGAAGCTCCCCCCAAAATTAAATTCTGGATCCGCTAGTGCGGCTCAATATATTTGTTGGCCACATTTTAATCTCGATTTTGTGATCAAATTATCTTACAATTCAAATGGAAATAAAATGCAGTTTACTCATCTCAATATTGAAAATTCCCCATACCGAGAATATTCGTAAATAAAATGTTTGAAGGTTACGATGAGATAAAGCTATTCTCGAAGTTTTAGGCGGATATTAATAATTTTATAAATAGGGGTCTGTATTACGGACTATTACATTTGGCAGCAGAATTTCCTGTGTTATAATTTAAAAAGAAAACATATTGTTATTATTTGAGTATTTAGCTGAATCACTCCCAGAAACAAATATAGGACAACGAAAAAAAAACGCTGCAAATTATTTCACAATGGTTTATTATTCCCAAACAATTATACATCTAAAGTAACGTGACCTTCCAAGTTATAAAGAAAAATAAACAAAAGGTGATTCCAATTATTGGACTAAATTTTTTTTTTAATCAATAGTAATATGCTAAAAAAAAAAAAAAATATCATTAGTTCAGTAACACATTCAAAATTTAAAAACCAAACCAAGGATATAACATTTGGAGTAGAACATATAAAAAAAACCGGAGACCATATCTTTGCTCCTAATTGTCCGATTTTAACGATTTTTTAAAAGGAAATTTCGTAAACTTTTAAAAAACTATTACAATATCAACAAAAAAGTATAAACTTTTCGAGTTATTCGGAATTTAATTTTACCACCCCTCGTAACTTTTTTTACAGCTTCTTTTCGTTGAAGTATGTTATATAGATAAATTTAAAGGTCGTAGAGAAAATGACTTTAGCGAAGTTTTATTGAAATCTGTACATTCGTTTAAGAGCTACAGTCTATAGCAACGCAGGTTTTTCGGCAGCCCTTTCGAAAGTAAAAGGCGGAGAGTAATGTCGATGAAGGAGGACCATCCTCGGGTGACCTCTGATTTTATATAAAAATTTGAAAAAAAAATCAGTCCAGTAGTTTCGGAGATAATGCACGGACGGTGGACGGCGTACGGACAAAATTTTTTTTATTCGTTTTTCGAATTCTACGCGGCCTGAAACGTGAAACCTCAAATTTTGAGAGAGGGTCAAGTTTTTGAATTTTTTGGTCGATCACAATGGTTGATTATTGAAAATAATAAAAAAAAAAAATTAAATTGGGGAGAGAAAATGACAGGATTATGTTTGCCTAAAAATATTCAAACCAAAGATCTTATTTTAATATAAATTGAAGAAAGGTGTTTTCAAAGAAAATATTTATTCAAAAGGAAAATAAAACTTAAAACGAAATAACATTTATTTAAACAAATAAATAAAATAATAATACACAAGTTAATCATTTACTGGTGTTATAAAGAATTAAGTTTTGGTTTTGGAGTAACTATTGATGAATGTTATTCGACAAAAATGTGTAAACTTCAGGTAAATGTATATTTATAAAAACTTAGTTAATTAATTAACGTAAAATTATTTATGGAATATATGACCATAGTAATTTTGGGATGGAGTGGCGGTCAAATTTAAACTGTAAAAACTAATAAACATATGCTGACGTTTAGGCCCACTATATAGTCCTTCAGAAGCTTAACGATTCCTCGTTTTAAATCAATATTTCTTATAAGTGTTTTTTTAATTTTATTGCAGCTCAATAAAAATCGTTAATGGAATTTCTTTTAATTCATCTTTTTTCAAAAAGTTTTACAAGTGCTTTAAGATCCTCTCCTATCGTTTCTACAACCCCGTCTTCGCAATATACACTTAAATTGTAACCTTCTTCACCATTAGTTTTAAAGATTTTGTCCAAGTCCAAAGCGTCTGTCCTTTCTGTGAGTGCACATGGAACGCATGCCGTGAAGAAGCATGTTCCGAAAAATAACAGTCGTTCCATGGCGTTATTGATATCTTCCAAGCTCGGTTTGGAACCTTTGTAACCGAACCTATCCAAGGAACTGGTTAGAGATTCGTGGTAGAGTTCGATCAAACTTTTTAGATTTTGATGTCGTACGCTTGCTTTGACACTTGAGTAAATGTAAGAAGTGACGTCTACACATGGTGAGTTGTAATGAGGAATTTGAAAGTCTACAAACCTGAAAAACCAAAACAAATGTAATTATTTATTTATTTTTCAATAGTACGTCAATCCAATATACCTTACAGGGATGATTTACTTATGAACTGCAATGAGGTTAGAAAATCAGAAATACAACGTTAGTAAGTGATTTCATTATAGTGAATCCCGATAGCTACTTTAGTATCGAAGAATCTTGATTTTGAATCTTAATCACCATGGCAAATGATTAAGGCATCTCGTTCTAATGAGTCACGAAAGAACTGTAATGAATATTATAGATATCTGGTTTCACTGGCGGATTTAGGATTCAATTTTGGATAGGAGTAAACTTTGGCTATTATTATTATTTTTTTAAATAACGGTGGGTAATTACTGAAACAATGAAGTTTTTGAATTCTTGAATGAAGTTAGTCGACTGTTCTACATGGGTGATAAATATTCAGGACGCAGTATTTTTTTATTTTTGCCAACGTTTCAACCCAAACATGTGGGTCATCTTCAGGGCTAAATGGATTATCTACATTATTTTTTTTATTTTTAGTTTGTATAACTATTTTAATATGTTTATTACAATATTAGTTAAGATTCATGTGCCATCAATCACTATAGTTTATTATTTATAATTAGCGGTCGTATACAATTATATCTCTGATTGTAATTTAAAAAAAAACATTTTCAGCCCTGATGATGACCCACATGTTTGGGTTGAAACGTTGGCAAAAATAAAAAAAAAAATTTAAAAATACTGCGTCCTGAATATTTATCACTAATGAAGTTTTTGAGATTAAATTTTTATATTTTTTTGTTGATATGTGCTTACAGGTAGTAAAAGTGCATGCAATTTTCAAAGAGATAATATTTATTCATGAATTTGAACTGAATTTATTAGTTTTCTTATGTAGTTTTGTATTTTTTAATTTTTAGCCCTGATGATAACCTTTGGACCGAAATGTCGGTAAACTGAATAAACATAATTTTTTGACTGCACACCATTTTTCATCTTTACAATTTTTACAGTCAACTATACACCCACTTCTATTTTGTAGTAATCTTCATTTACTTGTATGCCGGTTTGCTCTGCTTTATTATCATATTTTTTTTTAGAGTCTATATATGACGTCTTGATAGTAATATTTGTAATAAGTATTGATTAAGTATATAACCTTATGTAAGTATAATTTTTATATACAATATATATATATATATATATATATATATATATATATATATATATATATATATATATATATATATATATATATATATATACGACTTATTGTAAATAAAATATATTTTATTTATTGGTTAAAAAATTAACAATATTTTTTTAATGGTTGTTCTCACAAACATGGTTTTAGTCTACATTAACTCAGAAGAATCGATACACTAGAAAACCGTTTTTTTTAGAGATCTTGCCTAAATTAAAAGTTCCCCAAAGTTTTTTTGCCGTTTTTAAGACCTCTTCGACCACTGTGTAGCAACCGGCATATTCATCCCTCAACGACCAGATAAACTGGGGGCCTGTAAGTTCGAAGGTTAGTGCCTTACTAACTGAACTATACCGCTCTCCTAAGTCTTAAAAATTTAAATACATTAAATAATTCCAGCCAACTTATTACCTCATTTCGATGGGTTTTCCTTCCCAGTTGTGTTTGAACATCATGTTATTGCTCCAACAGTCACCGTGGTTGAGGCATTTGAAAGTGTTGTCATCGAAGTTCCCAGATTCAGTTATCCTTTTCGAAAGTTCCTCACAAGACATTTGACTTAGTTTGTCTGCGTATTCAGCCCTGTAAAATATATATAAAATAAATTTAAAACCGGGAATGATTGAGTAAGTATTATTTAAAGTTGGGAAGGGTAATGGAGTGACAAATGAAAGAAGATATGGAATTATATAGTGGTATGAATCTGTCGAAAGGTGCGTCCACCTGGACGAACGACTAACTTGGAATCCTCATACTAGACTGAAACGACAAGAAACCGCTCGACGTTTCCGATTACTTCAGCACTTACTAGACAAACGCTCTAAACTTCCCATTAATTACAAAAGACTCATATACTTGACTATAATAAGACCTATTTGGACTTACGGAGTTGAGCTATGGGGCTCCACTAAACCATCGAATTTCTCTCGCATCCAATCCTTACAATCCAAAATCCTTCGTAAAATCCTCAATGCTCCTTACTTTGTCACTAATAAAATTATCCATAAAGATCTTAATGTTCCTTATGTTTCAGATCTGGCCCAATCCAGATACCTATCCTTCCATAATAAACTTCAGATAACCTTTATCCTCTTCAACTCCTGAAAACCCTCCGAGGCGTTTGAAAAGAAGATGGCCCCGTGATCTCCTAATGTAGATATATCATTAGAGTGCTACCATTGGGTAGTTACTCATCAAGTGTTTTCGTGTCATTATATCCATTATGTTCAAATTTACTAGATGTAATTATTTAATACAGTTGTAAATATAAAAAAAAAAAATCCTAAACTTTATTTTTATGTTTTTGGAAATAAATGAAAAAAACTGTGCTTAGAGCAAAGATTTGAACTATATTACTTTAAAGAATATAAAAAATGCTACAAAAATTGTAGCGGCAGGATACCACGAAGGTTGTTTCACAGACCATGTAAGCGTTATTTATGTATTTCAAAGAATTGATTAAAGTCATATTTTAAATGCAATTCTAACTAACATCAAACTGATTGAACGTAAATTAATCTAGTGAAACAGAAAGATAATGAACTGGATTATCAAAAGCAGTCTTAAGCAATAACGTACACAGGCTCTGATTTAATCTTTAATTAAAGTAATGCGTGAACTATTTGTCAACTTCGGACTCTGCGTGAGTTTAAACGAACTTAGAAATTTGACTAGGCCACTTTTTAGGTCACCAACTATCAACAAAAGGGACGATATATTACATTTCTCATATTTTGCTAGTTTTTTTATGTCCTCCCAGATAGGCGATACGCCCCACTGTGCCTCGCAGTCTGCCTCTATGATTATAATAATATTCTTTACTAATAATATTTCAATGTCGATAATTTTGTAGTAATAATAATTTAGAAACTGTGATAGATTAGTCAGAACAAAATTAAATCTCAAGATAATGTTTGGTTAAGAATGATTTTAAAATAAAGAATAGTGAATGAAGTTTAGTATAGATTAATATTTCCGAACTATCGATATTTGTCATTTATTCATTAACAAAAGGAGGTTTAAATTTCTTGTTTTCTATTTGAGCTGGAAAAGAAGAAAATAAGAAATACTTTTGGCTATAATTGCTAATTGTTTACCATTCCTCTCCCCAGGATTTTCTCATTCCTTTGAATAGAGTTTGCAACGATCCGTAAAGAAAATTACGGATGTAGATTCCATCACCTAAAAATGGATGAGGTTTGTAGCCATCTTTAGAAATGAGTCCTCTCTCTTCTAGGACTTTGGCCATCGCGTGGTATCGGCCAAGACTTCTCAGTGTTAATCTTGCGTGATCTAGGTCCTGCGGTTCGGTACGTTTGACAGTATTGAATCCTGAGGCCTGTAAAATATATGTACAGAATCGAACTATATATTATCGATTAGCTCATCGCATCTATTCCATACTAACCTTCAAATCTTCTAAGATTATAATTGAATTAGCCCGATTGTAATGAATGAATTCGCACCATAGAGGTCCTTCCGTGTCCCCGAATTCCTCCATCAAATAGCCCATCTCTCTGAGGACGTTGGTATAGACCTGTGTAAGCAAAGTGTATTATTTATAATTCAAAATGGTTATTGGTAATGGACTTTTTACATCATTTAACGTATTAGAGCAGTGCCTCTCATCTTCAATATGATTCCAATTATACAGAACAAAAAACAAATCAAGTTGTGTGCTTCAGGCCACACGATAGAAGTGAACACATTAACGATTAATAATATGAAATATAAATTATAAATAATAGCTCAATAAAGATGATAAAATTCTGAACATTTCTCTAACTTACTCGATTTAATCGATATTAGGGTCGACTATTATGTTATATTAGGCCCTTTTTGTGAAAATACTGTCTGATTTGAGGTACCTCCCTCCGGGACCGAATATTTTAATTTTTCGGATTTATTTGATATGAGGGTCAACTATTATGTTTCGGGAGGCCCTTTTTATGAGAATACTGTCGCATTTAAGTTAGCGCCACGAGTACCGCCTTTTTGTAACTTTTCGGATTTAATCGATATAAGGGTCGCTGCTGGTCCGATATTCAGTTTCTCAGATATTTTAATCGATATCTTTCAAAAAATTCGTTATAACTTGGTTTTTGACATTATAAACGACATCACTCTCAATATCATATTTTTGTAGATGATTTTCACATATACCTGTCCTTCCCGCCCTCCGACCTATTATCAGCCACAGAAAAACTTCCAAAAGATTTGGATTGGATTTGTGACTAGGCGAGAGCTAACAAGGTTTTTTTTTTTTTTTTTTTGGATCCTCCCCATCCTCGCCGTTAAAGATATACCGGGTTTTCCCGGCCCAGAGGGTGTGGGCGGTGATTTAAACGACGCCTTGGCACCGGGACGCGAACTCGTGACTATTTTTCATAACATTTGTCATATATCAGGTTGCCGGGTAACGGTGGTGTTGTGCACAACGAGTTAGCTCATTCGGCCACCCCGCCACGAGCTAAAAAGTTGATGTTTAATGCCGAAAAGACAAAGGTAATGTTAATAGGATTCAATCACCACCTTAAAACTGTTGCTAATATTCAAATTCTGTAGCTACATGATAATCCCATCAAATTTTGTTCTCCATCAAAAATCTGGGAGTAACTTTTGATAAAACGCTTACCTGGAAAAAAACATTTATTCAGTGTCTCCCGCCGTACCATTTCACCTTAAAACGTCTAAATTACTTCTGTCACCTATTTCCCCTTTAAACCTGTAGGCTCCTTGTCACTTCCTTAATTTTTCCCCACTTTGACTATTGCTATACGGTATATGGAGGCGTCTCTGGAGATCTCGAGGCGAAACTAAAACGTTTGATAAATTGATATATACGATTCGTCTTCACGATCCCAAGGGACGCCTTTGTTTCCCCTTTTTTAGTGCAGAGTTGAAATGGCTTTATCCTTCCTACCGACGTAAGTATTTCCTGGAATCTTTCCTCTTTCAAGTCATCCAAACCCTCCGCCCTTCATACATCTCCGAGCTGCTTCAATTCAATTCCTCTGTTCTTTCCTGCAATACTCTTTCCCGGTCTTCTGAATTATACATAAGGGCCTATCGAACCTCTGCTTTCGACAGATCGTTCATTATCCGATTCTCCTCCCTATGGAGCTCCATTCCTTCCCACATCCGTCAATCCAATACGCTTCCTATATTTAAATCCCGCCTGTTGAATAATTTCTTATCCATTCAGTTCCCATAAAATTGTAAATAGATACTCCTGTAAATATGTATATAAATTATTAGATCGTTCTTCATTATTTTTTCAATTTTTTATTTTTAGTATTAACTGATTAAAATTAGAAAGTAACTTATATTTTTTTATTATGACTATTTAATTACTCTGTATTTTTGTTTATGTATCTGTGAGGCTCCACAGCCCATGTTTCTGTCTTTCTATATTATTCTAAAATATCTCGTCCCAGAATAAATAAAATATTATTATTATTTTTCCCCTTTTCTCCTCTCTAACACGAAGTTATATTAAGATGCAATTTTTAATTATAACATATTATAGAGAGGATGAAATGCGGAACAATATCCTTGATTACAGTATGCAGGTCCGATTTGAAATTTTTGAGATATTTTAATCCATACGTCGAAACATCGAATCTAGCCGACTTTACCCGAGCGTTAACACTTATGAAATCTGATGGATCAATCTAAATCACTCTCCAGAAAAAAGAGCAATACGTGTCTAAACAAGTTTTCTCTTAAAAATAAAAATTGATTGACCACTAAAGTAGACATTACAAAGAATAAACATTATTGATTATGCTCAACGTCAGGAAGTACAAACCTATAATAAGACTAGATCTGATAAACGGATTTGAGGCCTGGACACAAACCAGCATGCTAGAAAAAATAAATGAAAAATCCTCCGCAAAATAACCGTAGTAAACTATAAATATTTGTAAATACCGTTAATTTTTAGTAACATCACTAAAAATTGCTCATTAATGCGTGTTTTAAGGGATAAAAATGGGCAATATGGAGAAAATAGTTATTGGACTACGTTCTAAGGATGTTAACGAAAGATAATATAGAACAAGAAGAGCGATTGGAATACAGACCTTCCATTTCAAGGTTTTTTTTGAAAGCTTCTGAACCACTGTGCGACGTAAGACTAGACATTGTTAAGGTTACATAAACGAAAACTCTCGGCCTTAGTTTTATAATAAAACGCCAGTATCCCATCATAGATTCTAATCACATAATCCCGGATCACCAATTTGGATTCCATACATCTCACTCCACTATTAGCAATGTCACTATTCAGCATTGGAGCGCGGAATGTATTGCTCGACGTTGAACAGGCGTTTGATAGATTCTGGCACCCGGGACTGATGTACAAACTCCGTAAATTCTTATCACCTACATACTTCCTCATTATCCGTTCCTATCTGAGTGATAGATCGTTCAAGTGATAGATGCTTCAAAGTAAATCACAAAAATGCCTATTCATCTCTTTTTTCTCAGTTTGCTGGTGTTCCTCGAGGTAGTATCATAGGTGCTATCCTTTACACAGTTTATACAGCTGACATTCCAACCCATCCCAACACTGTTATCACCGATGACACATGTATCCTATCAGTTAACAAGCATCCATCAATTGCATCCCAAACTTTCCAATCACACATCAAAAGTCTTGAAGAATGGTGTCAAAACTGGAGGAGTAAAATAAACTCGAATAAATTCTATCAAATCACCTTTACCCTGCGTCGCAAATCTATAACCTCCTGTCCTACAGTATCCTTTAACAATTCCCCACTTATCCCAGTTGAACAAATCCGTTATCCGCTCGACGTTTCCGACTACTCCAACACTTACATGACTAACGCTCTAACCTTTCAATCAATTACAAACGACTCATATATATGACAATAATAAGACCTATTTGGACTTACGGAAATGAGCTTTGTGACTCCACTAAACCGTCGAATTCCTATCGTATCCAATCCTTACAATCCAAAATCCATCGTAAAATCCTCAACGCTGCTTACTTTGTCACAAATAAAATCATCCATAAAGACCTTAATGTTCCATATGTTTCCTATTTGGCCCAATCCAGATACCTATCCTCCCATAACAAACTGCAGAACCATCCAAACCCTCTCGTTTCAAACCTTGCTTCTTCCTCGATCCCTGATATCCCTCCGAGGCGTCTGAAAAGAAGATGGTCTCGGGACCTTCTAATATAGAACTTTAATTTGAGTTCTACCAATGGGTAATTTTTCTTCATGTTGTACATGTCATGTTACCAATGCCGCATTTAGTTGTTGAATTATATGTAATACAGTTGTAAATTTCATTAAAAAAAATGTTTTATTAAAACATTAATACTTACCGATGCCTCGGCACAAAACAATGCGAGATCATTTCCCAGCTGTTCGGCAGCTTCTCCAGTGTTTTCCTTCTTCGCAATAAAACTCTTAGTAGCGACCCTGCCTTTCCCGAGGACAACTTTCAGAGTGATCTTGAGAATGGTCGAAGTATAGTTTTCTCCTTTCGGTAATGCTGATTCAGACTTCATTTCGATTATGCGTTTTATTTTGGATTCTTTAGAAGATTTATTAAGGATGACCTCAAATACTTCTTTGTCCATTTCTAAAACAATAACTATATTAATGAAAATATTACAGTATAATTTAGTTAAAATTTTTGTATATATCAATTTCCTTAACAACATATAAAGGTGTCCTTGTAAATATTGTCTTAAAAGGGATAGAATTTTCCGATTTGTAGTCAGATATATTTTTAATTCAAATAATTTTTAAGTGAAAACATCTTTAGGCGCGTTTTGAAATTCTTTAAGGAGAGTGAATTAGATTGATCCGTCAGATTTCCGAAGTATTAACGCTCGGGTAAAGTCGGCTAGAGTCGACTATTTAAAATGTTTTTTTACTTTCAGTTACTTAGATATGTAATATATAGTAAGGGTAAGTATTGCGATCGTGAAAATTTTCGAATCTCAGTTTTCAACGGAAATATACGTTTTGAGGTACTCTGAGTCGAAATGACCAAGTCCTGAAAAATGGTCTATGTGTCTGTGTGTTTGTATGTTAGCAATCTAGCTCAAAAACGACTAGTCCTACGAAACTGATATTACGTATATGTGACAGCAACTTTTTCGTTAAAATCGGCTAACCGAAAGTGCCACTTTATATTAACACTGAAACACATTTTTACAATTTTCTCAAAAACGGCTCAAACGATTTTGATTAAAATCGGTGTATCATTGTATAATTAAGTGGTCTTTAATATCATTTAAGTCTTATCCCCGTTGAATTCACTTTACAGGGCTTAAATGCCCTATGTTCATTTATG